TGGGTAAGAGGGGGCGTTCTTTTTTGCAACAGGGAGCCTGAGGTGAAGGGGTTTATCAACCGACACTCCTCTAAGACCCTTGCAGGATCGTTTCAGGCATGGAGCAAATGTGATGAGCTTACGGGCTGTAGAAAGGGAGCCAATACCTACTACGAGGCCGTGGGGAGCTTTTCGTTTGTTCGGAATAAGCCACGAGTATTGCCGGGCTTGAAAACTGTCGTATCCAGATGTTTAAATGCTAACTTCGTCATTTCCTGAGGGGTTAAAGAGCTCAGGAAATGTCCCCAGAAGATAACCTTTTTCGAAGCAGTCGCGTCTGCCTGTAACATTCTTGCTGTATCTAGTATTNTCGCTCTGGGTTTGCTTTATCTGGATTGTGGTCCATAAATGAAGGTTGGCCCAGGTCAGAAGTAAGCAACTACTGGCCAGTAAGCCTGACTAGCATTCTTTACGAGGTGCTGGTAAGGATCATCAGGGCCCATATTGTTAGCAGTTAATGGATCATTCTATACTGTGCCCTGCTGAAAATGGGTTCCTGAAAAACAGGTCGTGTTTCACCAATCTCTTGTGCCTCCTAGATGAAGTAACTCGCAGGTTGGATGAAGGCAAACGCGTAGAGGTATGCTACCTTGACTTCAGTAAAGCGTTCGACTCTGTGAATCATCGTCTACTGCTGATCAAGTTGGAAGCCGTCGGCATAGAGGGGCGGGTATATATCTGGATATCTGACTTCTTAAGTGGGCGATCTTTCTACCTAAGGGTAGGTAGTTCCAGTCTGAGGAACATCACTAGTGGAGTACCTCAGGGATCGGTACTAGGACCCATCTTATTCTTACTGTTTATAAATGACCTAGCAGTAACGCTCCAGTTACCTAGCTTTTTCTTTGCCGACAATGTAAAAGTCGTAAAATCAGAGGGTCGAGAGGATCTGGCCAGGGATATTGCTTCAGTCCTAAGCTGGGCCCTCAAGTGGGACTTGCCACTGAATGCTGACAAAAGCCAACTGCTATCACGAGCACTAGAGGGTATCACAGTTGGCCACGAGGTAGTTCCCTTCACTATGCAGGCGGCTGAAAATGTAAAAGACCTAAGAATCTTGGTAACCGCTGATCTTAGGTGATCGAATCAATGTGCCAGAGCGGCACAGAAAGCTAGGGGTGAATTATCTAGCCTAAGATCAGCGTTGTCATGGCATAAATCTGAAGTATTCATACATCTGTACAATACCCCACCTAGAGTATTGTGTTCAGGCATGGCCACCCTTTTTCAAAAAGGATGCCGCCTGTTTGGAGCAGGGTCGACGGCTGGCAATGAGAATGGTTGAGGGTCAGCTTTGCAAAGAATACAAGCAGAAGCTTTAGGACCTGGGACTATTCTCTTTAGAAAAAAGAAGACTCAAAGGAGGTATGATAGAAACCTTTAGGATGAAATGAAAGGTTTATCTGGTATTAGACCAGAAACCGTGTTTCAGGAAACACTAGATTCCCGTACAAGGGGACACAAAATGAAGCTAGCCAAGGCCCGGTCTCGATTGATCGCCCGGTCACACTTCTTTGCAACAGGTTAGTCAGCATTTGGAACAGACTACCTGTAGAGCTAGTAGAACTGCAGATTGTGCTAGCATTCAAGACGGCCCTGGACGAACGGTGGTCTGAACTTGTTCCTGAAGTGGAGGTCTGACCATCCATCTAGGGGCTTAAGAAAACCAGTAGTAGGGGAAGCACACTCAGGTTGCCTATTCTTTGTTTCGTCCTGCCATTTATTGAGATGTAGCCTGGGAGACGAACGCTCACGAATAACAATCTCTCGCCTTGGGGGTGGGATGAGGTATCTTTCCATTTTCTTTCCCTCTTCAACCAGGAAGTTACGGACTACTTTTCGCAGTGGTGGGTGCCATACTTAACCGCATACCTGCGAAGAAATTCCGGACGCTCGATTAACCGTGAGCATTTTCTGTCCTGTGCAATCTGAACCGAATTAAACGCTACAGGTCGCACGCTATGCTCCCTGGTTTGACCGCCAGATGCTTAAGCGTCGAAATAGGTCGCGGAAAGCGTTTCACACACAGCTGCAACTACAACAGGTACAAGGTACCGTGTTATGCCTGGTTCTCGATGAAATAAACCAAACAGCGAATGTATGATGAGCCCTTGACATCCGAATCAGCTGCTATGCCGAAGCGATTTTATGCATAATTCCGTCGTCGCACACGGGCAGCAGCGAGCGATGCACTTGTATGGTGAGCCTAACACCGGATTATCTGCACGTCAAGGTCGCGCATAGACGACACAGTTGTCCCTTGGCTTTGTGTGCGGCTTTCACACACTGGGTGCTTGGCTTGAAGTCCTTCGTTACAACTATCCCTAGATCTTTTGCTTCTGTTTAACTTTCAGTTTCAGTTTTTACAACCATGAACCATGCACTTTCATGCACCGCTTTTGGTTGCTGTCTTTTGGCCGTCAATTTAGATAAAAGACAAGGATGAAGATTGGAATATTGAGAGAAAAGTGCAGCGGAGGATAGAGAATTCATATAAACTGGTGTTAAGAGAATAATGAGTAGATGCATGAGCGCCACTGTTTGCGACACTCAGCCATATCGCTCAGTGTCTCTAACCTGTGATCATGATCTGGGGATCCCCAGCCAAGGGGCCTATCGGGACCTATGTGACCCAGTTTCCTGTTTAGGGTTTCCATACCGTCATGCCAGATGTTAGGTCATCATCATTGTACAGAGAAATACAGTGAGGCGAAATTCACTGATCGCTGCCAAACTCGCAATGCATACAAGATAAGTAGTAAAATTTATTCTGAGGGAGGGAGAAGAAGGTGAGCCACTATAGTCAACACAAAGATTACGCAATCGAACTCCGCATGCATTACCGTTTCAAGCATTCTGACGTGATAAGAAGCGACAACNAAGAACGCCACTGCTGTCGGTTCGCTGCCATATCCTTTAATGTCTCCAAACATCCAGTTGTGGAGTCTTTCAGACCCCAACCGGGAAGGCGCGAAACACCTACTCTACCTAATGGCTCTGTGCATTTCTTCATGTCTGGTCTCCACGTCATCTGTTGACCTCCACGTGGTTTTCCCCAGCCCGGATTAGCTACAGCGAATAAAGCGCGATGCAGCAGACGACAGCTGGGCATACGCTGTGTGTGCTCTAGCTAGCGAAGTCTACTAATTTGAATTCGGTATGCTAGCAGGTTTATACCTGATAGACTTCCACGTTACTAACCCGTTCGCTCCATCCCAGGTGGGCTAAACTGCGTAAACAACGATAATCGAAAACTTCTAGTCGACGAATATCTCGCAAATTCAAGGTCTCAACCGTAAAGCAGAAATAAACGAACGCTAGCACAATGTACACGACCTTTCAACTTCAGTGAAACGTCGCATCTACGCCAAAGGTGTTTCAGTCCTGCATATGCTACTCGAGCCTTGGAAATGCGGGCGGTTATCTTCGATGCACTACCGTCATTGGTCACGCAACTACCTAAGTAGGAAAAGTAATCCACCATAACTAAATCCTGGCCATTTAGTTTCAGAGCAGGAGTAGACGAAACCCAGTTCTGCAGCATCACTTTGCACTTTGAAGGTGCAAAGCACATACCGAATGTGGCTACTACACTTGTTACTCTATCAAGTGCTCTTTGTGCGTCCTCCATACATTCGAACAGACAGACGATGTCATCGGCGTACTCTAAATCGCACAGCATTTCTCCAGCTGCCCATTCGATACCTACTTTTTGGAGTCTGCTCGGTGCGTTCTCCAGTATTTAGTCTACGACGAAATTGAACAGGAACGGCGAGAAAAGGCACCCTTGACGGACACCGCTGCTGGTGACGAACGGCCTACTTAGTTCGTTGTAAACCCTTATACGACCAGAGGTACAGTGACCTTAGTAGGTTACCGTACTTCTGGGGCATTCCTTTTCGAAGAAGGGAGCTCATCAGAGCTTCGGGGTCAACTGAGTTGAAGATTCCTTTCAGGTCAAGGAACACTGCGATCGTTGGCCGACGGTGAGTATGACACAGCTCAAGGATCTGACCCAATGTAAAAAATTGATCAATACATCCACGGCCAGGCCGGAATCCGGCCTGCTGTTCACGGATGTTGGTCTCTCTTAAAGGCGTCAAACGTGACGATCGGGATCAAACTTATCCCGCGGTGGTTTTCGCAATTGTTGTGACATTCTTTCTTGAAAATGGGAACGATCAGTGATTCGCCCCAAGATGAAGGAATGCGCTCTTGCATCCAAATGTTGCGCAGTAGCGTAGTAATAGAGGTTACAAGGTAATCACCTTCCATCTTGAAGAGAGTGGGAGGGAGCTCTTCAGGTCCTGCTACCTTTCCCCGCCTCAGAGCTTGAATGCAAGACCAAACTTCTTCCCAGCTCTGGCGGGTGGTAGCTGTCCAGGAAGTGCAAACACTTCTGCCACTGCCAGGAGGAAGCCCCACGTATGCAGCCCCTACGTCCATTTAGCGGGGTTTGTTCGACCGGTAAACTGCCCCTTCCCGTATTTTCCTCCCGCTAGAGTGACCTCTCCAGGGGCGGGAATAGATAGTCAGGGGAAGTCAGGAGGTACCCAAGCAGCTGGTCTCGTGATTTGAACTTCGTCTGACCTCTGCCCATTGACCTTTCAGGCATGATTGGATTTGCGACTGTGAACGGCCATCCTATATAGCCCACAGGGTCATGGAGGCACGCAAGCCATCACACCGCGTCAAGGTGCAGTCTCGCCGTGATGGTCCTTTGCTGGAATATATATATATATATATAATATTATATTTTACACCGGCTTGTAAACAAGCATGGTGCCCAGTCTGCAAAAAATAATAACAATTATAATAACATGGGGCGGACGGGTTGGAATACAGAGCAAAGTGGGAAAAAGGTGGAACAGTTAAAATGGAAAAAGTAGGAAATTGGGATAACAACGTAATTTTTGTGTGTTTCACCTCATGCTTTTTGATACTTTTGCTTCTAGCATCCGTTGTATCGACAGTCATTTATCTCTTCTTCAGTTCCAGTCGTTAGTAGCTGACATGTTGGGAGATTCAGTGGTAGATCCCACCGTTCGGTCCATCGTTTAAATACTTCTTTGTTTCTTGCTAGGTCCCATTCGGTTATCTTATCGTCAGCTACAAACAGAAAACAGGGATATCGGGGATCTCATGCTAGACCATGACAGCGTACATTAATAATCTTTTGAATAGAGCTCCATCCAGAGCGTGCTTATAGGCAGTCGTGCTTTCTGAATCTAAGAATTCCTTTGGCAACAGGTCCCAGCTGTTCGCCATCCTGTTACTGAAGAAACTTGATCTAACAACCGCGTTGCACCGCTATTTATACAGTTTGTGCACATTCTCTCTAGTTCCTTGGTGGATAGCTTTTTGGAACATGCTCTCTTTTCTGATTCCTGACTGTACTTTCACAATCCTAAATACCTCCGGCGGTATGAATTACCCTTTCGACCTTCCATCGTTTGAGTGGCTAATCTTTGCACATTCTCTAAACAGGCTGCAGCCTTTTTGTAGAAGGGTGCCCAAGTCTGCACCCAGTTTTCCAAGTGTGGCTTTTGAAAAAGAGAAGGCATACTTCAGGCTTTCGACACGATGGCACTGACTTAAGTTTGACCAGTTCTCTCCTCGTCCTTGCTGCTGCCAGTGCACATTGGTTGTCCAAACGGAAGTCTACCGACACCGAAATTCCTGAGCCTCTGCCAATTGTTACAATCCTTGCCGTGAAGTCTTCTCTTTCCATCTGGATTGATAGGTGCTCGTCAGCACGGGAAAAGAAATGGCTTTCCTCTGTATTCAGTGGGAGGCCTCATACTGTTGTTCATTCCTTTGCTCTACACAGGTCATCCTGTAATTCCTGTCTACTTTTTGATCCCACTATCTCGATATCGTCTGCAAAGATGGAACAGGGTGAACGTAGGATGACAGCTTAGTCATCTATAACATTGAGGAACAGCAAAGGACCGAGCAGTGAGTCTCACAAAATACTCCCCCCACAAAACGTGCAAATGATCAGGAAATCATTGATTCAACAAAGTATATTCCCGCCTGTCCCCTTGTTTGTGTTTGAGTTTAGTCAACAGCAGCCTGTGGTTGACGGAATCAAAAGCTTTACACGAGTCTAAATAACAGACCTCTACATCTTGGCGCTCATTAAACTGCGAGGGTACCTCATCTAGAAAACACTGTAGGGCAGATAAGCAAGATCTACCTTTAGTAAACCCGTGCTATAAATCGGCAATCAACGAGTTTCTGAGTAAGTGCTGTGCAGTGTGCATCCTCACTAACCGTTCTAGGCACTTGCACAATATACTCGTTAGACTTTGCGGTCTGTATTTTTTAATCTGAGGTTGTGCCCCTCCTTTGTGAATGGCAACAACTGTAGCGGTTTTCCAGTCCCTCGGTAGCTTATTCGGATCTAGGCTGGCTTCGTATAGATCCCTTACTGGTTCCACCGCTATATCCTCTATCCCCTTTACAATTACCGGGTGGATTCCATCGGGTCCTGGGGAATTATATTCAGTTCGGCTAATATCCGATGAACCGCTTCCGTTGACGTACATATGCTCTATTTCCTCTGGTGGGGAGGAGATATCCGGTGTTGCCAAATCCCCTCGATCTGTTCTATGTGCGTTACTGAAGTAAGCGCAGAATGCATCTGCCTCTCTCGGATCATCGATGACGACACACTTTGATACACAATGAGGCTGTCCAAAGACAGTAATTGTTTGATCGGTGTAGTCTACCGCTCTCCTGCATCCTCAGACTTAGCTAACGAGGTACTGTTGCAGACTATGAGATACACCCTCGCAGTAAAGATCGCTCATGTTCTCATACTGGTAAACTTCAATTGCCCCAATTTTATAAAAAGCCAGAACTATTGGAGCGAAATTTATCACAGTGTATAGACTCATCCCATGTATAATCACGTAAAAAGAATCCCCCCAACATTAATGGTGATCTTAATGCAGGTAGTGTCACTAGATTCCGACCTCAAACACATCGCCTGGGGCATTGCAAACCACATTTCATTCAGTAGTTCTAAAACCTCTCTTCTTTCAAACACCATTCATTCTTCCCCCATTTATCTTTTAATTACACCTAGCTACGTTCCCTTCTTGGATTGCCTGTAACTTCTCCGTTATGCTGGTCCCCTTTTATAACTAAGCTGACTTCTCGTGTTGCGCTCAAGATTGGATTTCTATTTCGCTTCAGCCGCTTTTTCACCCCAGCTCCTCTATTGTACCGAACTCAAATCCGCATGGCTCTTGAATACGGTAGTCACGTGTAGAGTGGGGCTTCATCTTCTCTTTCCGTTCTTGATCGTGTTCAACGAAAGGCCATTCGGCTAATCGATGATCCTTCCCTAACATCCAGTCTGCAGTCACTAGCCCATCATCGGGTGGTTGCTTCATTGTCCCTGTTCTACCGTTGCTACGTTGGTTTTTGTTCTTCGGAACTTGCCTTCCCCAATTTACAACCTTACACTTTTTGAACGCGGAATCAATACACTGGATCTTATGTAAATGTTTCCCACTCCCCTTTACAGTATGGTGCTTGTCTATGGGGATTTCCCCTTTTATTGTAATTCACATTGTGTAATAAAAAGGATTTGGACAGGTCACCTACCTTCAACATTGGACGTGGTATTGACGAGCGAGGAGCTTATGGTCGAATCGGTCGGAAAAACGTCTCCATTGGGACACAGCGATTATGCAGTTCTGCTTTTAGATTACATTTATCACGCCTAAATAGAAGTATGCCTAAAAACCAACATGCACTGTTATTGATTACAGAGAACCTTGCTGTTTTCAAGCAATGATCTCAACCGGAAGAGCAGATAGATCCACTGGAGTCTTGGAAAAGATTCATTTACACTAACAGAATTCATAAGGGTCGCTTCAACAACCAAGCCTATCGGTACGTCGCCTACACAGTTATCGTCAATGAGTGTCACAGAAGAATTTCTCCTGGTAAGTGTTCAAAAGATGTCCAACCGCCGACACTTAGGATAACTATGTTGGGAAGTCTTTGAGTAAACTTAGTAAGAGAAGATGAACGGAGGTTTCAAGAAACCCTAGTACATAAATTTATTTTCTTACCAAAGCTCCTATATAAGCATATCAATGCTAACAGAAAAGTGAACTATGGAATAGCGGCACTAAGGCGTGCAGGACGCATTTCCAATATTATCCCAGAAACAGCCGAATTTCTAAACATCCAGTTCTATGAAGTGTTCGCTGCAGGTGGCCAAATCGGATTACAGCTTCCATACCTTCTGCTCAGTATCCCATAGCCCTAATTGACCACCGTCAACTTCACATCTGAAGCGGTAAAATCCAAATTATTGGCGCTGTTCAGGAATTCCTCTCCAGGGAAAGGTAACATCGGCCCACAGAACTTGACATCCTTGGAAAATCACATATATGAAGTAATTGCTCATTTATACCAAAGCATGTTCGATAACACGAAGATCCCTCACTCCTGGAAACAACATCATTTCACCTATCTATAAGGGTGGCTGCATAAGTGATCCTTCGAGCTACCGTCCACTCACACTTCTTCCTGTTCTGTCAAAAGTAATGAAATCGATTGTTGCTGATTCTCTGATTGAGCACTTCGAGAAGTATGACANATGACATTCTTTCGCCGACCCGACACGGATTTCGAAAAAAAAACACTCGTGCGCCACAAACCTGCTACTTGTAAGAGATGAGTGGACAAGGTTAGTTGACGCGGGGAAACACTGGACATACTCTACTTAGACCTCCAAAGCTCTTGACAGAGTTAACCACCGTATACTGCTGTGGAAGCTCCATAACTTCAATGTTCGAGGACTGCTCTTTGACTGGATTGAGGATTTCTTCGACAACGTACTGTATCGGTTCAAGTTAACGGTTCTCTGTCGGGACCGATCGAGGCTGCTCGTGCAGTTTCACAGGAATCCGTACTTGGTCCGTACCTTTTCCTAGAGGGTGGTGGTGGCGCAGTGGTTTAGTCGCTGTCACCGGTGTGCTTTGGACCCTATAGTCCGAGGTTCGAGCCCCGCTGACGCCACCCGACTTTGGTGTTAGGCAGCTCTGCTGTCATCCGGTTCAATACCACACCTAACCTATCGGGGCCTTATGTGGTTCGCCACTTCAAGTCCCGGTGCTTTGGTTGCCGGTTACCATCACTGAACAGCAGGTCCTCCTGACTATGGGGTTCACCCCGTCTGCTGTTGATCACGCTTAGGTGTATAATAAAAAGAATTAATAAAAGACCTGTCAACTGTCCTTTCGAGAAAAGGCATTATTATTCACTGATGACGCCAAGACATGGAGGACGTCACAACATCCTGAAGATTATGAAACCATACAGGAAACTCGACGCAGTTTACCGGTGGTCTATGACTAATTACTTGAAGTTCAACTTTGACAAATGCAGGGTTGAGTTGAGTTCAGTTCCGTTTGCACAACCATTAACCATGCACTACAGTGCAGAGTTGAATCGTTGCGCCACAGGGGTCGCTTTCTATTCTTTCTTGGAAATTGGCCATTATCGCTTGCTCCCAACGAAAAAGATCTGGGAATTATTGTTCGTGAAGATCTATGATATTCCATACCTTGCGCCAACCTAACCACTAACCATGCACTTTTGTGCGCTAGTTTTGGTTGCTGTCCTTTGATTGCCAATTTGGATGAACAGTAGGAGAAAGAAGAAGATTGAAAGTAGAGTCGAATATAAAATGGGGAATGTTAGTGGACTAAGGCTGCAAAACAATTGAGAAGATGCACTAACGCCACGACACTCAGCCATATCACACCATCAGTAACGATCATCTCGGTCCCCATCCAGGGAGCCTAACGGGACCTATGTGCCAGAGTCCCCTCATGCCAGGTCTTAGCTTAACCACCCCTGGCTTTTGCCACCCACTATCTGCCTCGACAAATATCGCTTGCCGTGGCAACCTATCCGGTGACAAGCATAACATTTGCCCCCCAACCAACGTAAACTATGAGGGCCAACCATTTGATCCAGTGGGTGACCGTGGATACCCAAAATTTTGCACCGAAAACTCAGCATTGTTTGTCCGGCTGCCCCATCAGATTCATGCAATGCTGCTCAGACAGCCGTGTTCAAACACCGACAGTCTAACTTTATCATGTTTTCTTAATGGCCAAGTTTTTGTGCCGTATAACAGAACTGGCCGAACTACCGCGGCATACACTCGACCCTTCACAGACAGCCGGATGTCGCGACGGCGCCACAGATGTCTCAAGTTGGCAAATGCCAGCCGAGCCTTCTCTATGCGAGCTGAGACTTCATCCGTGATTTGTCCACCGGGTGAGATGTAGCTGCCTAAATTACAAAACGAATCCACTTGCTCTAGTACTTCTCCAGTTAGAGTGAGACCGCGTGCTGAACCAAAACAGTCTTAAAGCAGCATTTTACACTTTGAAGGTACATACCGAATATAGCCACGCTGGCATTTAAGGTATCCAGAAAAGCTTGCAAGTTACCTGCATCTTCACTTAGTAGCACAATGTCGTCTGGATACTCCAGATCAGACACTTGTGAGTAAATCGATGCCGGTTTGGCGTGAAACGCATAAACTTCTTACGAAAATTGTCTGCCTGGTCAGTTCGTAGTTGGGATTTGCTCTTGTGCTTGTTTCCCTAGCGGCAATAATTTCCTGATTCGGTTTACTCAGGGTAATTATGAGGTGTATCGGGTGTTTATCGGGTTTGGTTAGCGCCTCTCTTTACTTCTACTTGGCATGCCTTTTATGTTATTATTGCTTGAAAAATAATGAGCTCTTTCAAGAACACATATACTGGTTTTTGAGTGGAATTGGCTTTTTTCACGTGCATTTATGTGGATGAGCATATGCAATTTTTACATAATATTTCAAGATATGGTGCAGTTCATCTCAATCAC